CCGAATTTCCATGTTTATTCAGAGGTGGCATTACAGCAACATGCGCATGCAAATACGCACACACGTATGTATGTGTATATATATACATTTATATATATATGCACGCACACAAACACGCATATGTGTACACACACATATATGTGTATGCATGTATAATAATAATATGAGAAACAATGTTTCGTACAGACAGATTAAGAACGAGTGTATTTTATGATACGAAATATAAACTGCAAAATGATTTTTTTTTATTTATTTATTTATTTATTTATTTATTTTTAGGCATTCGATCCACTATATTCGTCTCATTCCTAACCAACCGTTCGTATGTATGAATTATCTTAATTTCTCGTGTATTTATCTCTCGGGAAACGGAATAAAAATATAACGCATCTTCCTGTTTCAGATTGCACACCACTTCACTTGCTTTTTAATGGTCACAGGGCGATGGTGGATATGTTGATAGGCAAGGGAGCCGAACCGAATGCAAAGGCAGATAAAGGTAAGCCAAATCCAGGCATGATTAAGCCTCTTGACTCGCAAGGGTATCAGGAATCGGCGGTAGCAGCGACCTCGTAAAATTCTATCATTCTTATCAGGGAGGAGACATTCTGGGCAATTCCTTGAGAATTCAAGAACTTTCTCCCATTTTTCCGTAGTTTGTGCTTGTTCATTCAGTAGGTCAGAAGAGAAAGTAAAGGAGACTCCACAATAATGAAGACAAAAATAGAATTAGTAATTACAGAAATTAGTAATGGGAATGGTGGTAATCAGACATGAATAATGGTACAAATGCATGTGGCACCAGTCATCTTCCTCACCTACATTTCAACTCATAACATATATAAATTGATTTAATGTTCCAATTGATATGATCCTATTGTGTTATCATCGGGGTTACGTTCTCTGCTCCACGTTGTCATGTCACTGATTTCGACTCTTTCTGTCTCTCATTAATTTTATTATTATTCCTTTTGTACACATAACAAGGTATGAAAAATCAAGAAATTTCAAGATAACGTTTGGTGACCATTATCCTTTACCCGAGTTTCCAGATTTATTCAGAGGTGGCATTACGGCAACATGCGCATGCAAATACGCACACACGTATATATATATATATATATATATATATATATATATATATATATATATATATATATATATATTATATATATAATATATTGTAGTGGATATTTATAAACTCCGTAGAGTTAAAGATGTTGGTTTGGTAGCGTGTTATCCAGCTACAGGTAATCTCCATGTGAGTCTGGCGTTAATTAGTAATGACTCTCAGGTGAGTTTAAAGGTGATTCCGTAGTCACGATAAAAAAAACAATAAGACCACTGGCTGACAAAAAGGCAACATAAAAAGGAGCATCCATTATACATTTATTTCGCACAAAACTTTCAAAAAGAACAAATACACAGGACAACACACCATACACTTACTTGAAAAACACAGAGGCAACCCGCCATAGACCGAGAAGCACCAGTCAGCCAGCTAAAATCCAACGGTCTGTCACCACACACGAACAAAAGCCTCTCTCCCCTAGACCGATCTGGCTTGACCTTATATACCGGTGGCTATCGTGCTTACTGGGATTTTACCCATAATGCAATTAACTTTGTTAAATAGTGTATGGTGTGTTTAAAATAAGTTAGAAAATACATAAAATAAAAGAACGATAAAACTATACAAAAATGGGCACATAAAGTACGAAAAAGTGAAAGAAGGGATCCGTGAGAGAAAGCGGAGAAACACGAAGGGAAAAACGAAAGAAAAACAAAGCTAAGGTGAATTAGTCGAAGACGAAACGGCAAGAATAAAACAAGGTAAGTATAGAATATAAGGTAAGTAGTGTATAAGTAATGTCGTGTATAGTAGGAGTAATGTAGATGTAGAGGTAGATCACGGACTAGTGGGAAAGGTAAGTCAAAGGAATATAAAAACACAGGCATATTCTTATTTAAAAAAAAAAGGCGCAGACACACAGAAAACAGCAAAACCACGTCATCTTGCAGGGCGGAAGAGTCCGTAGATTAATTAGAGCGATCCATAACGTCAGGGAAACAGGCGGCCCGAAAGCCTACGGGATGACCCGCCTACAGCCAGGGGAAATTCACTACATATATATATATATATATATATATATATATATATATATATATATATATATATATAATGTATATATATATAATATATATATATAAATATATATATATATTATATATATATATATATATATATATATATATATATATATATATATGCACACACACACACACGCATATATGTGCATGCATGTATAATCATAATAATGTGAGAAACAACGTTTTGTACTGACAGATTAAGAACGAGTATATTTTATGATATCAAATATAAACTGCGAAATTAATAAGTGTCTCTTTCTTTAGGTATTCGATCTACTACATTCGTTTCATTCCTAACCAACCGTTCGTATATATGAATTATCTTCCTTTCTCGTTTATTTACCTTCGGGAAACGGAATAAAAATATAACGCATCCTCCTGTTTCAGGTACACACCACTTCACTTGGCTGCTTTTAATGGTCACACGGCGATGGTGGAGATGTTGATAGGCAAGGGAGCCGAACCGAACGCAAAGACAGATGGAGGTAAGCCAAATCCAGGCATGATTAAGCCTCGACTCGCAAAGGTATCAGGAATCGGCGGTAGCAGCGACCTCGTAAAATTCTATCATTCTTATCAGGGAGGAGACACTCTGGGCAATTCCTTGAGAATTCAAGAACTTCCTCCCATTCTTCCGTAGTTTGTGTTTGTTCATTCAGTAGGTCAGAAGAGAAAATGAAGGAGACTCCACAATAATGAAGACAAAATAGTATCAGTAATGACAGAAATTAGTAAAGGAAATGATGGTAATCAGACATGAATAATGGTAGAAATGCATGTGACACCAGTCACCTTCCTCACGTACATTTCGACTCATTGCAGTTATAAATTCATTTAATGTTCCCAATGATATGATCCTATTGTGCTATCACCGGGTTACGCCAGGCTTAGAATGTTATCTATTCTGCGTTATCATATGTCATTTTGTTTTTATACTTGCTATTTTTCTATCTCATTTATTTCATATATATATGCACACACACACACACACACACACACACACACACACACACACACACACACACACACACACACACACCACACACACACGCACACACACACACACACACATTATATATATATATATATATATATATATATATATATATATATATATATATATATATATATTATATATATATATATATATATATACATATATATATATATATATATATATATATATATATATATATATATATATATATATATATATATATATATATATATATATATACATATGAAAAACTCGCCTCATTTCGGGTGTGACAGTTCCATGTGAATGAAAATGAATGTCACCATTTTTTTTCCCGCTTCAGGGAAATCCAGTTAAAATTTCAAGATAACTTTTGGTGGCCGTTTTAATCTACCCGAATTTCCAGATTTATCCAGAGGTGGCATTAGGGCATGCTTTTCACATGTATTATTATTATAACAAATCACATACATAGATACACACATATGTGTTTTGTGTGTGTGATGTGTTATGATAATAATACATGTGAGAAGCATTTTGTTATAGCAGATTAAGGAGGAAAAACAAGAAAGTAATATTTATGAAAGGAAATTTGATATAAATGCTCTTTTCTTTATTACTTTCTTCTGTACACCATCTTCATTCTGCTCCTTTGACTCACGTGCCTGTCTTATGCAATTGCACGAGTGCACTGCCATAATCTCAGGCAATCGAGTCAGAGTCCGTAGCAAGTTTTTTAGATGTTCCGTCCTTGAAATCGCTCCGTTTGAAATTCGTCAGTGCAGATCCCAGACACATACAAATATATACATATACATATAATATGCGCCTCTATTCCATGATCATTATCTTCCGTTTTCAGGATGGACTCCGTTACACTTAGCAGCCCACCAAGGTCACGAGGCGGCGGCCGAGGAGCTCATCGTCAAGGGCGCCGATGTGAACGCAAAGGACGAGGATGGTGAGGCAATCTTAAGGAAGACAATTTCGAATTTAAAGATAATATTAAGGGACATATTGAAGGACTTAGATATCACCATTTCCATGATTTTTTAATAAGTTTTACCATGTTATTCTAATAACTATGATCATTATTGATACTATCCATATTATCATCAGTATTATTAATATTTATTTCTATTATCCTTTTTTATTTTATTTTTATCGTTTTTATCATCATTTTCAATACTAATATCGTTATAGGAAAAACGCCACAGAGGAAAGATTTGGGAGAAGATACTCTAACGATTGAAGGAATTAAGACTTATAAAGCAAAGGCCACATTAGAAGCAAAAAATAAAAGGATAAATAAATTAAACTGTTAGATGATAACGACTGCCGAATAATCTCAAACATCAAGGGGATCTTAAATAAAACCAAAATCAAGACGGAAGGCATTTTGCTGGTGCTATTCATAGATGGTACGTGGCTTGACTACTTCTATGACTTCAAATATAGCTTCCCGTACGTGGCTGCAAGCATAGCTCCCGGCAAATGGCCACAGACATTGCTTTCTGTAAATCCCCACAGGCATGACTGTTTGTAAATGGCCACAGGCATGACTTTGTAAATGGCCACAGGTATGGCTCTCGGTAAATGACTTGAAGCATGACCCCATGTAATAGCACACTCAGCCTCCTTTCGGGATATCAGTGGGTCTGGTTTAGTACTAATATCAGCTGGTCATTCAACACGTGTACAAACTAACAACTCCATTCATTTCATTCCTAGCCAGCCGTACATATGTATGAATTGTTTCCTTTTCTCGTTTATTTATCTTTGTGAAAAGGAATAAAAAAGTAAAACGCATCTTCTTGTTGCGTACTTCATTTGGCTGCTGGAAAAGGTCACAAGTGGATGGTAATGTTGCAAGGCAAGGGAGCCAAACCCAATGCAAAGGCAGATGTAGGTAAGCCAAATTCAGGCATGGTTAAGACTCGACTCGCAAAGGTATCAGGAATCGACGGTAGCAATGATCTTGTAAGATTCTAGCTCCTCACGACAGGTTTGATCGATCTGCCCAAGCCACGACTTCCTAGTCGTGGCTTGGCTAGGCCTCCTCCACCCAAGGCTGTCTCCTACAGAGACAACCTGGTGGGCAGGATCATCCTGTGGGAAGCATGTCAGGTGGCCTTATAGCCTGAGTTGGCGATCACGGATTGTGCAGAAAACAGGTCCTGTGCCAGTTTTACGGTGGAAACGTTGACTGGACATGTGGTCCCGCCAACAGTACCCCATGATCCGGCACAAGGACCCATTACAAAAGGCATCAAGACGAGACTCCAAGGCACAAGATAACGTCCAGGTTTCACTACTGTATAGCAAAACTGGCATTATCAGGGCCTTGAAGATGCGTAGCTTGGTCCTTCTGCACAGGTACCGGCATCTCCAAATACTCTTGTTAAGAGGGTTCATGACCCCTGCTGCCAGGCCAATCCATCTGCTGACTTCCTGGTCTGACAGCCCAGAGTTATGAACTACACTACCAAGGTATGTAAAGCTCTCTGTGACTTCAAAGACCTTGCCACAAGCAAGTATTGACCGAGCAGGATCTCTTAGCAAGTCTCCAAAGTCCTGGATATTGGTCTTGGTCCAGGAAACCTCTAGACCCAGAGGCTTCGCTTCATTACTAAATGCACCCAGAGCCAACACTAAGATTTCCAAAGATTCAGAAAGAATAGCAACATCATCAGCAAAGTCAAAGTCAGTAACCTTGATATTGCCTACTGTTCAATGGCTTTGAACAGTAGTTCTGCCCAGTATCCACTCCATGCAAGTGTTGAAAAGTACTGGTGCAAGGACACAGCCTTGCCTCATACCTGAACTAACGGGACCGAAGTTTGACAGGCTTGCTATTAGTCCAATAATCCTTGTTGGAATTCCTCTAAATCTCAGGATCTCCCATCGTGATTCCTTATGCACCGTATTGAATGCCTTCTTGAGGTCGATGTAGGCTGCAAGCAGCCCACGCCTGAACTCACAACTGCGCTTTACAGTGACTCGAAGCACAAGGATACAGTCTATTGTGGACTTACCAGGAGTGAATCCATATTGCTCTGGCCTCTGGTGCCTCAGCAGATAGTCGCTGATATGCCTCAGAAGGATGTGGGCAAGAACCTTGCCTGGTATACTAAGCAGTGTGATGCCTCGGTGATTACTGTAGTCTCATTAGTCCCCCTTCCCCTTCCAGAGAGGGATGACCACTCCCCTCATTAGGTCAGGGGTAACAGTACCGGACTACCAGATGGCAGCCAGGACAGCATGCAACCCCCTGCCATATGTTCACCATCACAGTTCAGCTGGGATGCTGGAGATTCCTGCTGTTTTACAACTCCTCAGCTTGAAAATCGCCCCCCCCCCCCTAACTTCAGTTAAGGAGGGTGGATCCTCACTGATGGGTGGTGGTAATGGAATCTCGGCATTACCTAGATAAATGATGATAAACTGTTCCTTGTCCCCTG